AGTCAAACCCGAAAAATGTTGCTTCCCCCTTGACTTTCCTTTGACCCTAAACCTAATCCTCTTGTATTTAAAGGCTCTAAGCCACGAAAAAACCACCAAGCTTTAGATTATTTTGTTTTAGTTTCTTTTAATTTATTGTCTTTTACTTTTTAGAGATCTAATCCCATCTTTGTGTTCTTGAAGCTCTTGCTTCTTGAATCCTAGATCCTGGATAATCTCTTTGTATTTGCACTTGCTTATTTCAATAAAAGTTGTTTATTTCATCTCCTCTTTCTTATGATGTCTCTTTTATTGCATTTGCTTGTGTTTACATTCATGTGTAGTGAGTAGTTACCCATTAGGGTTTGAGATGGGATAGATTAGAGGTTTCATATGCTTAATCCTTCTAGCTTATGGTCTTAATCTAGATTCTCTCTCTTTTGGATAGATCTTAAGGCTACATGACCACTACCCCTGGCTTGTAAGTCCTTAGGCGACTCCCCACACGAAGTGATGGCATTCGCTGGAAAAGATCCACTAAGAGCTCCAATATCTCTTGCTCTAGAAATAGAGGTCTAAGGGGTTGGATGGATTAGTTTGGGCAATGATCCTATAGCCTCCAAGGTTTGATTCTCACTGGCTAACCCCCTGTTTCTGAGATCATTCCTTGGTTGATAGCCTCACCTTGGGAAAGGGTTGGCTAGGCATTGAGAAGCCCAATATCAAGAGAAGCCTTGATACAAGGAGTTTTAAGAGCTAGATGATTAAGTGTAGATTCCTTTGATTGCAAAACCCTGTCTTGAACCCTAATTCTCTCTTTATCTTGTTAAAGTCGTCACCTTTAGCTTTGTTTGTCTCAACTCGACCCTAAACTCGATCGAGCTGGTACTTTGCTCTACTCGACTCGAGTCTTGGTCGAGCTGACACTTCACTGCTTTGTTTACTTTTATTGCACTGCTTTTCATTTTTTTAGGTTGTTAGTGTTACTTCAAATCTATAACTGCTTGCTTGACTTCTGGTTGTTTCATATTCTCATAGAGTGACAAGTTTCCCATTTTGGATTGATAACCTCTTATACTTCAATGACTATGATGGTTAAAGAGGAATTGTTGACTGTGATTGTGTTTGCACCATACCATCATCTTTATTACCCATTGCATTCCACTCTCATTTCATATCACACACACAAAATCCTATCATCAATTTGGCGCCGTTGCCGATTTGGGATATTTTTGTTGCATTTGAGTTTCAAACACACTTGGACGATCAAGCTATACCACCCCTGTTCTATTGTACTGCTGGGTTTTTGTCTCTTTTTGCAGGTGTATGCGAACTCGATCGAGTCGGTCTACAAGGACTTGGTCGAGCTAGACATTACAACGGGTAGAAAGAGGGTTCAGAGGTCACAGAGGGTACAAGAGGAACCTGAGGTGCTTGTTGCTGATACAATGGATGTACCAGAGGGGAATGGAAACCCTTTGGGCAATGGACTCGGTCGAGCTAGGCAAACTCGACCGATTGGTCAAGGAGATGCTCCAAACCGCCACCAACAGAGACAAGGGATTGTTCCACCACCAGTGCAGAACCACAACTTTGAGATCAAGCTGGGAATGATCAACCTTGTCCAGAACAAGATGTTCCATGGATTGCCAAGTGAAGACCCCATTGACCACCTTGATGAGTTTGATAGGCTTTGTGATTTGACAAAGATCAATGGTGTCTCTGAAGATGCCATCAAGCTGAGACTCTTTCCTATGTCTCTAGCTGACAAAGCTCACCAATGGGAGAAGAGCTTGCCCCATGGCACAATCACCACTTGGGATGAATGCAAGAAGGCCTTTCTTGCTAAGTTTTTCTCCACCGGTCGCACAGCCAAGCTTAGAGGAGAGATATCCAGCTTCATCCAGCGAAACAATGAGACATTCGCAGAGGCTTGGGAGAGGTTCAAAGGCTACACAAGTCAGTGCCCACACCATGGATTCAACAATGAATCCTACTCTCCACTCTTTATAGAGGATGCTTGCCTAGGTATAGGGAGATGCTAGACACAGCTAGCAATGGGAACTTCCTCAACCAGGATGTAGATGATGGCTGGCAACTTGTGGAGAACATGGCCATATCAACAGAATGCTATGGAGAGCACTATGAAAGTACAGATTGGAGCTCGACCGCGCACTCGATCGAGCTGGACGCTCAGATGAGAAAAGACATGCTTGCACTCAACTCGAAGTTGGACAAACTGATCCTAGCCCAATTCCCTGCCAAGCATGTCAACTATGTCTCAGAACAAACCTAGTCAAGGACCAGGAAGGGGAGGAGACAACACAAGAAGTTTGCTACATTCAAAATAGACAAGGAAGCTATAGGAATCCTCAACAAGGGCGATACAACAATTATCAAGCCCCCTGGCCGCACCAACAACAAAGTGTTCCACAAGGCTTCAACACAAGGACTACTCATACCCAACCAACTCATGATTGGGATATGAAGGAAATGCTCCAACAACTTTTACAAGGGCAAGCCAAAGGTTCTCTGGAAATGAACAACAAGCTGGTTGAGATACACTCTAAACTAGAGTCATTGACTTCAAGAGTCCAAATCATTGAGTCTTCAAGTGCATCATCCTCTTCACCACAAGAGTATGCCCAAGCAGTTACACTAAGAAGTGGGAGCAATTCCCGAGTAGAGGTAGCCCACCCCAAATCGCTGTGGACATCGATGACGAGGAAGGGGAGGATTTAGTCGACTATGCTGATAACTCGACCCGAACTCGATCGAGCTGGAACAAAACCCTGAACCAGAACTCGATCGAGCTGGAGAAACTGAGACACTGCAAGACAAACCAGAGCTCGATCGAGCCAGAAGAAGCAGACAAAGCAAACTCCAGCCAACCAGCTAAACCTGTTGCAAAGAAGAAAGACACTCCAGCAGGACCACCACCATACAAGCCCCCTCTGCCCTTTCCAGGAAGGTTCAAGAAACAACTGTTGGAAGCACACAAGGCCAAGTTTGATGAACTAATGAGACAGCTTGAGTTGAAGTTGCCCTTCATCGACGCCTTGATGCTCATTCCACCTTATCAGAAATTTCTGAAGGATGCTGTTCAGCAAAGAACCAGGGAAGCACAAGGGATGGTAGTGTTGACTCGCGAGTGCAGTGCAATCATTCAGCGGAAGGTCATCTCCGACAAAAAGGAAGATCCGGGGAGTTTCACTTTGCCCTGCATGTTGGGACCCCTATCTTTCAAAAACAGCCTCTGCGATCTAGGATCATCTGTCAGCCTCATGCCTTTGTCTGTAGCAAAGAGACTGGGATATCACAAGTACCAAGCCTGCGGAATCTCACTAGTCTTGGCAGATAGATCGATAAGGTTACCAACTGGGATGCTTGAAGACCTGCCTTTGAGGATAGGGAATGTAGAAATCCCCACAGACTTCATTGTGCTTGAGATGGATGAGGAACCAACAGATCCATTGATTCTAGGAAGGCCATTCCTAGCTACAGCAAGAGCAATGATAGATGTCTGTGAAGGAACAATTGAGCTAAACTTGGGAAAGGACCTGAAGATGAAGTTTGATATCAAGATACAATGAGGAAACCAACTATAGAAGGTCAGCTCTTTTATGTTGAGGAAATGGATCAGTTGGCAGATGAGCTTTTAGAAGAGTTATCAACAGAGGATCCCTACAAGTTGCTTTGACCAAGGATTCTTCAGAGGGATATGTGAGCTCAGAAACTGATGAGTACAAGAAGCTCCTTGACACCTTCAGACCAGTTCCAAACATTCTGAGCATTGAGGGATTGGACAGGCCAGTTTGCGAAGTCATGGCAGTGAGCTCGATCAAGAACTCGATCGAGTCGAGTTTCGAACAAACGAACTCGATCGAGCTGGGGCTGAATGCAAGGAGCAAGCTCAAGGAGATTGGTCTGAGCTCAAGGCGCCTAAAGTCGACCTCAAACCTTTGCCTGAGGGCCTCAGGTATGCATTTCTGGGTGAAAACTCAACTTACCCTGTCATTGTGAACTCTGATTTGGAACCTGAACAGTTGAGTGCTTTGCTTGTTGAATTGAGGAAGTACAGAAAGGCAATAGGTTACACTCTAGATGATATCAAGGGGATCTCCCCTGACCTATGCATCCATAGGATTCATCTAGAGGATGAAAGTAAGTCAAGCATTGAACCTCAGAGAAGGTTGAACCCCAATCTAAAGGAAGTAGTGAAGAAAGAGATACTCAAGTTGCTTGATGCTGGGATAATCTATCCCATCAGTGATAGCACTTGGATATCTCCAGTTCATTGCGTCCCAAAGAAAGGGGGGATCACTGTCATTAAAAACGACAAAGAGGAGCTGATTCCCACTAGAACAATAGTGGGGCATCGCATGTGTATTGACTATAGGAAGCTAAATTCAGCATCTAGAAAGGATCATTTCCCTCTCCCTTTCATTGATCAGATGTTAGAAAGATTGGCAAACCACCCTTTTTATTGTTTTCTTGATGGCTACAGTGGTTTCTTCCAAATCCCGATCCACCCTAATGATCAGGAGAAGACCACTTTCACATGCCCTTATGGCACCTTTGCTTATCGAAGGATGCCATTTGGGCTGTGCAATGCTCCAGCTACTTTCCAGAGGTGCATGACCTCCATTTTTTCAGATCTGATAGAGGAGATGGTAGAAGTCTTCATGGACGATTTCTCAGTCTATGGAGCATCCTTCTCCTCATGTTTGTCTAACTTGTGCAGGGTGTTGCAGAGGTGTGAGGAGACCAATCTAGTACTCAACTGGGAGAAGTGCCACTTCATGGTTCGAGAAGGGATTGTGCTTGGACACAAGATTTCCGAGAAAGGGATCGAGCTCGATCGAGCTAAGGTGGATGTCATGTTGCAGCTCCCTGTTCCCAAGACTGTGAAGGACATAAGGAGTTTTCTGGGTCACGCAGGGTTCTACAGAAGATTCATCAAGGATTTCTCAAAGATAGCAAGACCCTTGACAAGGCTTCTATGCAAGGAGACAGATTTTGAGTTTGATGAAGAATGCCACAAGTCTTGGACCTTGCTGAAGGATGCTCTGGTATCTGCGCCAATAGTACAAGCTCCAAACTGGGATCACCCATTTGAGATTATGTGTGATGCATCTGACTATGCAGTAGGAGCAGTGCTTGGCCAAAAGATAGACAAGAAACTCAATGTCATCTACTATGCAAGCAAGACTATGGATGATGCTCAGTGCAAGTATGCAACCACAGAGAAGGAGCTCCTTGCCATAGTCTTTGCCTTTGAGAAGTTTCGAAGCTATATAGTTGGATCCAAGGTGATTGTGCACACTGACCATGCTGCCCTTAGACACATCTTCGCTAAAAAGATACAAAGCCAAGACTTCTCAGATGGATCCTTTTGCTTCAAGAGTTTGATAGAAGTTGTGGACAAAAAGGGAGTAGAAAATGGAGTTGCTGATCATCTCTCTAGGATGCGAGTTGAAGACATGATCCCCATCAATGATTCTATGCCTGAAGAACAGCTTATGGCAATCATGATCTTGAAGGAGAGTTTTGATGAGAAAGCCAGGCTGGAAGAAGTTAAGGCTCTGCGTGATGAGAATTTGCCATGGTATGCTGATATAGTGAACTTCATGGTGTCCGGAGAAGTCCCTAGTAGCTTTGATGCTTACAAGAGGAAGAAATTCTTCAAGGATGCTAGGCATTACTATTGGGATGAGCCCTACCTGTACAAGAGAGGACCAGACAGCATTTACAGGAGATGCATTGCTGAAGAGGATGTGCAAGGAGTTCTAGAGCATTGCCATGGGTCAGCTTACGGAGGTCACTTTGCTACATTCAAAACAGCAACTAAGGTTTTGCAATCGGGTTTATGGTGGCCTACTTTGTTTAAGGATGCAGCAGACTACATTGCCAAGTGTGATCCGTGCCAAAGGAAAGGAGGGATCACCAAGAGGGACGAGATGCCACTAAACCCAATTCTAGAGGTTGAGATCTTTGATGTATGGGGAATAGACTTCATGGGACCTTTCAAACCTTCTTCAAACGGGCACAACTACATTTTGGTTGCTGTAGACTATGTATCCAAATGGATTGAAGCCATTCCCTGCCCAACCTGTGATGCCAAGGTGGTTGTCAAGCTTTTCAGAACCATCATCTTTCCAAGGTTCGGCATCCCAAGGGTTGTTATTTCGGATGGAGGCTCCCATTTCATCAACAAGGTGTTTGAAAAGTTGATGAGAAGCCATGGAGTCAAACACAAGGTCGCCACACCTTATCACCCTCAAACCAGTGGGCAAGTTGAAGTCTCCAACAGACAGATCAAGGCCATATTGGAGAAGACTGTGAGCTTCACTAGGAAAGACTGGGCAGCAAGGCTTGATGAGGCACTTTGGGCTTATAGAACAGCTACAAAACCCCCATTGGAAGGTCTCCTTTCAATTTGCTGTATGGGAAGGACTGCCACTTACCTGTGGAGGTCGAATATAAGGCTTTATGGGCAGTAAAGATGCTGAACTTTGATATAAAGGCAGCACAAGAAAGGAGGGTAATGAACTTGTTTGAGTTGGAGGAAATAAGAATGAATGCCTATGAGAACTCTAGGATTTACAAGATGAGAACCAAGGCAGCCCACGACAAACTGATTCGCCTTAAGGACTTCAAGGTTGGGGACAGTGTGCTCTTGTATAACTCCAAGCTAAGGTTGTTTCCCGGGAAGCTGAGGTCAAAGTGGGCGGGACCATTCAAGATTCACGAAGTTCTACCCTATGGGTCCCTCACTTTGCTCAATCAAGAGGGGAAGGAATTCACAGTGAATGGACATAGATGCAAGCCATATCTAGGAATGACCCCCACAGAGGAGATCATCACTCCTCTAGAAGATCCAACCCCGGCCTAAAAGGGGTAAGGTCAAGCTAAGAGACCTAAAACAAGCTCACTTGGGAGGAATTCCCATGTCTATCTTATGCATTTATACTTTATCCTTTTATTTTTATGATTTTTCTTGGCTAAGTCTCACAGGAGCAGGTTTTAGGAAGGAAAGTGGCTAACTCGAGGCACAACTCGATCGAGTCAAGAGCAAGCTCGATCGAGTGAGCCGCAACCCAGTTGCAGTGGAGTGCTCCTGATGGCCGTCTCCCATCTCCAGACCACGACCTAGTCTCCCAGTTCTTTGGGGGACACTGAGGTATCCAAACACCAACCCTTGTATATACCATTTCATATTTTCTTTGCATTTGTTCTTGTTTTTTCTTGGTTTTGCCCTCTTGAATCTTTCACTAAATTTTTCTCACACAAGGGACTGTGTGATTTAAGTTTGGGGGAGGGTTCAAGAGATGATTTAACCTTGTTTTCTTTGTTCTTAGTTTTTCATTTATCTTTTGCATAGAAAAACCAAAAAAATCATAAAATTTTCAAAAAATCCAAAAATATTTTCATCTTTTTGCATTCATATTTGTTAGACTTGTTTAGGATTGCATTTTTCACTTGCATTGTTGATTTGACTTTGAAAACTTGTCCATCTTTTGCGATTTCTTGAGTGCCCTGTTTTTAGATTCTTTTGTGCATTAGGGTGAGATTGATTGAGCAGCAAGAACCATGTTTATCTTGATCATATCACTGCATGCACATCTCATTCAACCATTGCTGTGATTTGATGCATTTCCCTATCTATTTGAACCATAACTTGATCTTTAATTACCAATGCTTGCATTTGATTTCAACTCATGGCTACCACATACATATCTGGACATTCTTTACCATTTTCATATCCCTTTTGCTTGTCCAGATAGCTGATCTCTATCTTTGAGACAGTTACCACACCTTAAACCTAAGCCTTTTCATTTCAAACCCCTTATTATCTCTTGTGCGAATGTGAGAACCTTTCTTGGCTTTGCTTAGCATAAGGTGTTGTGTTTAAACCGGCAGGGGCAGTAGTTCTAGTTGTCTAGTTCTCTTGGGATTGTTTTCAGGCTAAGTTTGGGGGTGCCAACTCGAGCTCGATCGAGTTGGGTGTAAAAACCAGAAAAGTGGTAAAAGTTGGGAAAAACCCAAAGGAAAAAGAGTTTGGTTAAGTCCAGGGAGTTGGCAGTTTAAAAAGGGTCTAGTAAAGGTTTGGGAAGTTAAAAAAGGAAAGTAAAAAGGGTTCTAAGTAGAATGAAAAGAAGGCAAAGCCTCAAGTGTCCAAAAAGGAAAGAAAAGTTCCCTAAGTGTTTAGAAAATCCCAAACCGCTAGATGTTACCTCAAGAAGCCTCTCCCTAGGAAGTTCTTAAAAGAAAAGTGAGCAAAGCTCCTCAGTTTCAAAGGCGAAATGCCAAAAAGGGTAGTTAGGATTTTGTTCTAAAAAGCTCTAAGTGTTGAACTCGATCGAGTTAGGATTAGGCGGCTCGAGCTGCTGTTCTTGCATCATCTTTGGTTCTAACACTTAGCCTTCTGCCAAAGCAAAGCCACTTTCTTGAGAGATCCCTGTTACTAAACCACCATACAAAAGAGACCCTCTTTGTCTCTTAACCCATAAACCCTTGAAACCAAATGAGTTGATTGATCTTGCATGTTTTTGGTTCACTGTTTTTGCTTAATGAATGTTAAAGGGATTTGCTGATTTGAATGCATTGTTTGAGTGACTGTGAAGTGGGATTGATGTTGATAAGCATGGTTAAATCTTAATGAATATCTCTCACCTTGTTGCATTCTAGAATCTCTAAGTTGGACATTTAGCAAATCGCTTTTGAGGACATGTTTTTAAGTGTTGAATCAGCTATTTTCAAACCTCATCTCTTTCTTGTTCTATTTGTTTGCTTGAGGGCAAGCAAAGTTCAAGTTTGGGGGTGTTGATGTACTTGCATTTTACATAGTTTTAGCACATCTTTTATGCATCTTTTGCATAGTTTTAGCTTCCATTTGCATCATATCTTGTTCCTTTTCTCTTCTTATGCATTCATGTTAGTTTTAGGTTGCATTTGCATACATATGCATGTTTGGTCCTTTGAAATAGGTCTTTTGGAGCATTCTGGAGCATATGGGACAAGGAGCATGGAGGGACTTGGCACATGGAAGCAGCTCAACTGGATACGCAAAGGAAGAAGGGAGAAGCCATCTTGAAGACCAGCTCGACCAACCGGTCGAGTTCCTCAACTCGACCGGCCAAGCTTCAACTCGATCGAGCTGGAAGTCAAAGTCAAACCCGAAAAATGTTGCTTCCCCCTTGACTTCCTTTGACCCTAAACCTAATCCTCTTTGTATTTAAAGGCTCTAAGCCACGAAAAAACCACCAAGCTTTAGATTATTTTGTTTTAGTTTCTTTTAATTTATTGTCTTTTACTTTTTAGAGATCTAATCCCATCTTTGTGTTCTTGAAGCTCTTGCTTCTTGAATCCTAGATCCTGGATAATCTCTTTGTATTTGCACTTGCTTATTTCAATAAAAGTTGTTTAATTTCATCTCCTCTTTCTTATGATGTCTCTTTTATTGCATTTGCTTGTGTTTACATTCATGTGTAGTGAGTAGTTACCCATTAGGGTTTGAGATGGGATAGATTAGAGGTTTCATATGCTTAATCCTTCTAGCTTATGGTCTTAATCTAGATTCTCTCTCTTTTGGATAGATCTTAAGGCTACATGACCACTACCCCTGGCTTGTAAGTCCTTAGGCGACTCCCCACACGAAAGTGATGGCATTCGCTGGAAAAGATCCACTAAGAGCTCCAATATCTCTTGCTCTAGACAATAGAGGTCTAAGGGGTTGGATGGATTAGTTTGGGCAATGATCCTATAGCCTCCAAGGTTTGATTCTCACTGGCTAACCCCCTGTTTCTGAGATCATTCCTTGGTTGATAGCCTCCACCTTGGGAAAGGGTTGGCTAGGCATTGAGAAGCCCAATATCAAGAGAAGCCTTGATACAAGGAGTTTTAAGAGCTAGATTGATTAAGTGTAGATTCCTTTGATTGCAAAACCCTGTCTTGAACCCTAATTCTCTCTTTATCTTGTTAAAGTCGTCACCTTTAGCTTTGTTTGTCTCAACTCGTCCCTAAACTCGATCGAGCTGGTACTTTGCTCTACTCGACTCGAGCTCTTGGTCGAGCTGACACTTCACTGCTTTGTTTACTTTTATTGCACTGCTTTTCATTTTTTTAGGTTGTTAGTGTTACTTCAAATCTATAACTGCTTGCTTGACTTTCTGGTTGTTTCATATTCTCAAAGAGTGACAAGTTTCCCATTTTGGATTGATAACCTCTTATACTTCAATGACTATGATGGTTAAGAGGAATTGATTGATTGTGATTGCACCATACCATCATCTTTATTCACCCCTGTTTGCATTCCACCTCATTTCATATCACACACACAAAATCCTATCATCAACAAGGTTGATCATTCCCAGCTTGATCTCAAAGTTGTGGTTCTGCACTGGTGGTGGAACAATCCCTTGTCTCTGTTGGTGGCGGTTTGGAGCATCTCCTTGACCAATCGGTCGAGTTTGCCTAGCTCGACCGAGTCCATTCCCAAAGGGTTTCCATTCCCCTCTGGTACGTCCATTGTATCAGCAACAAGCACCTCAGGTTCCTCTTGTACCCTCTGTGACCTCTGAACCCTCTTTCTACCCGTTGTAATGTCTAGCTCGACCGACCGACTCGATCGAGTTCGCATACACCTGCAAAAAGAGACAAAAACCCAGCAGTACAATAGAACAGGGGTGGTATAGCTTGATCGTCCAAGTGTGTTTGAAACTCAAATGCAACAAAAATATTCCCAAATCGGCAACGGCGCCAAATTGATGATAGGATTTTGTGTGTGATATGATATGAATGAAGGTGATAAGATATGAGGTGGAATGCAAACAGGGGTGAATAAAGATGAAATGGTGCAATCACAATCAATCAATTCCTCTTAACCATCATAGTCATGTAGTATAAGAGGTTATCAATCCAAAATGGGAAACTTGTCACTCTTTGAGAATATGAAACAACAGAAAGTCAAGCAAGCAGTAATAGATTTGAAGTAACACTAACAACCTAAAAAAATGAAATGCATGCAATAAAAGTAAACAAAGCAGTGAAGTAGCAGCTCGACCAAGACTCGAGTCGAGTCAGAACAAAGTACCAGCTCGATCGAGTTTAGGGACGAGTTGAGACAAACAAAGCTAAAGGTGACGACTTTAACAAGATAAGAGAGAATTAGGGTTCAAGACAGGGTTTTGCAATCAAAGGAATCTACACTTAATCAATCTAGCTCTTAAAACTCCTTGTATCAAGGCTTCTCTTGATATTGGGCTTCTCAATGCCTAGCCAACCCTTTCCCAAGGTGAAGGCTATCAACCAAGGAATGATCTCAGAAACAGGGGGTTAGCCAGTGAGAATCAAACCTTGGAGGCTATAGGATCATTGCCCAAACTAATCCATCCAACCCCTTAGACCTCTATTTCTAGAGCAAGAGATATTGGAGCTCTTAGTGGATCTTTTCCAGCGAATGCCATCACTTTCGTGTGGGGAGTCGCCTAAGGACTTACAAGCCAGGGGTAGTGGTCATGTAGCCTTAAGATCTATCCAAAAGAGAGAGAATCTAGATTAAGACCATAAGCTAGAAGGATTAAGCATATGAAACCTCTAATCTATCCCATCTCAAACCCCAATGGGTAACTACTCACTACACATGAATGTAAACACAAGCAAATGCAATAAAAGAGACATCATAAGAAAGAGGAGATGAAATTAAACAACTTTTATTGAAATAAGCAAGTGCAAATACAAAGAGATTAATCCAGGATCTAAGATTCAAGAAGCAAGAGCTTCAAGAACACAAAGATGGATTAGTTCTAAAAAGTAAAAGACAATAAATTAAAGAAAGCTAAAACAAAATAATCTAAAGCTTGGTGGTTTTTTCGTGGCTTAGAGCCTTTAAATACAAGAGGATTAGGTTTAGGGTCAAAGGAAAGTCAAGGGGGAAGCAACATTTTTCGGGTTTGACTGTTGACTTCTCAGCTCGATCGAGTTGAAGCTTGGCCGGTCGAGTTGAGGAACTCGACCGGTTGGTCGAGTAGACGGTCGAGCTGGTCTTCAAGATGGCTTCTCCCTTCTTCCTTTGCGTATCCAGTTGAGCTGCGTCCATGTGCCAAGTCCCTCCATGCTCCTCATGTCCCATATGCTCCAGAATGCTCCAAAAGACCTATTTCAAAGGACCAAACATGCATATGTATGCAAATGCAACCTAAAACTAACATGAATGCATAAGAAGAGAAAAGGAACAAGATATGATGCAAATGGAAGCTAAAACTATGCAAAAGATGCATAAAAGATGTGCTAAAACTATGTAAAATGCAAGTACATCACAGCCTCCTCCATTGGCACATCCTCTTCATCATCTTGCACATTTTCATCAACTTCATCATCCTCTTCTTCTCCACTCTAACTTTTTTTACCTTGAGCGGTTTCTCCAATCTCAAACTCTCCCTGTTCTTCTTCACTCTCTGTTTCCAATTCTGACTGCACATAACCCTCTGCATCATAATCTTCTATTCTTTGCATCATTCCCTCCAAATCCGCTATCTTCTTTTGCCTCCTATGGGTTGCATTGCTACCTTCACTGATAAACTCTTCCCAAGGGGTCGGCACTCTAGAGTTGGTAAAAGGGATAAGCCTTCATTCAACAGGCTGGGAAGCCACGAAGAACAAGGATATGTGGATTGAATGGCTGAACAGAAGCTGCGGAAGGCTCCTGATATACCGGCGGATCGATTCTCTGGATATTACACACCAAAGGGGATCGACAGCTTGCTGGATATGACACACCAACAAGGAATGGATAGAGATGGATTGAGAGACGCCACAAAGATCTGTGAAAGGATCTCTGATAAGTCTTAAACAGCCAGGAACATAGATATGACACACTATGAACATGGAGTTCCAAAAATAACAAGACATCACATCTTGAAGGAGAGAAACTTCTCTGATTTTTACTGAAAACAAACTTATTTTTATTCATGATTTTGAGCTCTATATATAGAGAATTACAACTCATTTTCGTCATAACTAAGAGCTTAACATGCAGAGCACTTAGAGAAATGAAGTTTGACTCAAATCTGCATGTAAGAGAGAGAAATAGACATCATTAAATGTGGTCTTTGTTGAGGCTCGAAATATGATCTTCCTTGATAGCTTTTGGGCTGAATCAAACTTCATGGGCTTCTCTGATGGATCTAGTTTGTAGAATGACTTGGTTTGTAGCTTAACTCGCTCTGGCCTGGTCGGAATCCTTCATTGAATGCATATAGGACAAAATCGAGTAAACCGGAAATCACCTGATTTGTAAATTGAATAACTCCTTCGTTTGAACTCGGATTACGATGATTATTCTTTGAGGTGTTCTGGAATCGAGCTGAGTACAATCTCGAAGTAATTTCGTTTGTTTATTCGTCGTGGTTGAGAAGATACGCATCGAACAGTGAACACATGTCCTTTCGGGTCTTGTTGAAGTCTTGCATCCGGTTTGATTGAGCTCTGATTCAGCTGCTGGTTTAATGACCTTATCATCATATTTTTGCTACCCTCAATAATCATATCATACTCCCTCTCTTAAAAAAAATATTTGCCCTCAATTCTTGCTCTTTATTGAAAATAAACTAAAAGAAGATGAAGAGGTGAGAAAAAGAAAATAGAAAGAAAACCAAACCCAAGAGTGTGCTCTGATACCAAATGATGAACTCTTCCCAAGGATGGGGCACTCTAGAGTTGAGGTTGGATAGATTTGTCTAGAAGCCGTGATGATGGAAGGAGTTGAATGGTTGAATGGTTTGATTCAGAGATTGCGGAAAGATCTCTAAAACACCAACCTGAAGACTCGCTAGATATTACAAACCAGGAGTGAACAGGGCTCGCTATAGACTCATTGGATACTACACACCAAGAGTGAATAGGGTTCTCCATGGATTTGACACCATAGAGAAGTGATCCAAGAGTTTGAAAGGGGTTTGATAATAAAAACTTGGATAATTTTATTCATGATTGCAGTCTCTATATAGAGAGAAATTACAAGTATTTTCGTCCTAGTTAATAGCCTAACGTGCAGAGCTTCTTGGAAAATGAATTACAACTCTAAACTGCATGTAGGAGAGAGAAACATGTCTTCATTATTGGAGTCTCTTGCTGAGGACGAAACTTGACCTTCCTTGATGTCTTTTGGGCTGAATCCAACTTCATGGACTTCTCCGATGGATCAAGATTGTAGAATGAGTTGGTTTGTAGCTTAATTCATTATGGCTTGGTCAGAATCATTCATTGAATGCACACATGTCCGAATCAAGTAAACCGGAAATGACCCGTCTTGTAAATTGAATAACTCCTTCGGTTCAACTCCGCTTGAACTGATTTTTGTTCGAGGTGTTCTGTAATTGAGCTGAGCATATTCTCCAACCGGTTTCATGTGTGGAATCGTCGTGGTTGTGAAGATAAGATTGGAACAGTGAACACACCCTTCCTTGCTTCTGCCCATAATCATATCATTCTCCCTTTCTTGAAAAAGATTTGCCCTCAAATCTTGCCCTTATTTGAATATAATCTAAAAGAAGATGAATAGATGAGAAGGATGATAAAGAACGAAAACCGAACTCCAGAGTGGGCTCTGATACCAAATGATAAACTCTTCCCAAGGGGTCGGCACTCTAGAGTTGGTAAAAGGGATAAGCCTTCATTCAACAGGCTGGGAAGCCACGAAGAACAAGGATATGTGGATTGAATGGCTGAACAGAAGCTGCGGAAGGCTCCTGATATACCGGCGGATCGATTCTCTGGATATTACACACCAAAGGGGATCGACAGCTTGCTGGATATGACACACCAACAAGGAATGGATAGAGATGGATTGAGAGACGCCACAAAGATCTGTGAAAGGATCTCTGATAAGTCTTAAACAGCCAGGAACATAGATATGACACACTATGAACATGGAGTTCCAAAAATAACAAGACATCACATCTTGAAGGAGAGAAACTTCTCTGATTTTTACTGAAAACAAACTTATTTTTATTCATGATTTTGAGCTCTATTTATAGAGAATTACAACTCAGTTTCGTCATAACTAAGAGCTTAACATGCAGAGCACCTAGAGAAATGAAGTTTGACTCAAATCTGCATGTAAGAGAGAGAAATAGACATCATTAAATGTGGTCTTTGTTGAGGCTCGAAATATGATCTTCCTTGATAGCTTTTGGGCTGAATCAAACTTCATGGGCTTCTCTGATGGATCTAGTTTGTAGAATGACTTGGTTTGTAGCTTAACTCGCTCTGGCCTGGTCGGAATCCTTCATTGAATGCACATAGGACAAAATCGAGTAAACCGGAAATCACCTGATTTGTAAATTGAATAACTCCTTCGTTTGAACTCCGATTACGATGATTATTCTTTGAGGTGTTCTGGAATCGAGCTGAGTACAATCTCGAAGTAATTTCGTTTGTTGATTCGTCGTGGTTGAGAAGATACGCATCGAACAGTGAACACATGTCCTTTCGGGTCTTGTTGAAGTCTTGCATCCGGTTTGATTGAGCTCTGATTCAGCTGCTGGTTTAATGACCTTATCATAATATTTTTGCTACCCTCAATAATCATATCATACTCCCTCTCTTAAAAAAAGATTTGCCCTCAAATCTTGCTCTTTATTGAAAATAAACTAAAAGAAGATGAAGAGGTGAGAAAAAGAAAATAGAAAGAAAACCAAACCCAAGAGTGTGCTCTGATACCACTTGATAAATCCCTTGTAAAGAATCGACACTTTGAAGCAAGTAGAGGTTGAATTGTAGCGATGGAGTGAATGGAATCAAAGAACTTGGCGAAATGGATTGAGATGGTGAAATGATGAATGGATCGATGGAAAGTGATAGATGAGGATGGATTGAATGGCTATACCAGAGATCCAATGGAAAGGAATCTCCAACACCACCTCTAAAATAGTTTATACAACTCACAACTAATCTAAAGGGATTTCTCGGATTCAACACACCAAGAGAAAGGGTTCTTAGAATCACACTAAGAGATCTTTGAGTAAACAAAGGAAAAAGGTTTTTCATTCAAGGTTGCATAAACTGAAAGGAAGATTCGTCCAGAACATATAAAGGGAGAGAAGAGAAAAGAGAAATAAAGAGTCTAGTCTTGGAACATGCTCCAAAGACTATCTAGGAAAAGCAAACATAATTAAAACAAAGTTTGAACACAAATATTACCCTTGGTCTTCATGGCCACGTTTTTAGTCTTCATTATTGATGGGCCTTGGTCTTGATCAGCTAAATGGGTGATTTGTATGTGACCCATTTGCCTCATTAAAAACCTTGTCAAGAAAACCCATTGGGACAAAACTTGACAAGGGAAAAAGAGTACAAATGAGACACATGCCCATTTGCTGATCTCTTGAGCTTGGATCAAAAACCAGGGAGGTTTAGGATCAGGTTGTCTCCATTTTAGCTCAAGATTAACTCTGTAATGAGTAACCAATTCCATTGGTGCAGCTAAAGCTTCCTCAGCTACAAGCTCCGGTTCAAGCTCATCCTCAGCTACTAGCTTTCTTCCCTCACGTTCAAGCTGCTCCACTGGTTCAAGCTCTAAGTCCTTAACTCCATCAGGTTCAAGCTTAGGTCCATGCTCCTTGACCTTGGCGCTGGCCATAATCATATCATTCACCCTCCAGCATTCCTCCTTGTGTTGCATAGCTTCCTTCACCTCGTGTCATCTTGGTTATGTTGCTCTACCAACTAGGTTCCCTGAAATTCATCAAAGGTTCAAAGAATTAGAGTTGCAATGAATGATTGGTCAACTCGACCGACTAACTTGATCGAGTCAAGTAACTCGGGCAACACACTCGATCGAGCTAGGTCGAAACAGAGTAAGACCAAATCAAAATTAGGGATTCAGAGCAGGATAGGATGCTAAACAATCAAATTGAACTAAGAACAATATGCGTCATTAGTAAAGATTAAAGCATCCTAGCCAATACCAAACTCAAATTCAAAGGACGAAGCACATGCAACAACTTCGAAGGTCAAACATTGGTGAGATGAGACAAGTTCATGAATTTCTCTAAATAAAAGAGGTTTATGAATGCAACAACTCAAGAACAAGCTCATATAGTGATGTGGATTAAGTTTTACCCAATCCTATTACTAGATACCGCAAGTGCACGGATCTTTGGTAGTATGGGTTATCAAATACAAGGACCAGATAAGCTACACTATGAGTTTATGAGATTTAAATCAAGCTAGGACTTGATATACCTCTATTTTACATGCTTTTTATACTGTTTTAATATGGGTTTCTGATGGTTTTTAGCAGGTTTTCTATCTAAAAAGGTAGGTTTATTGGATTTATAGTACTTAGAGTCTAAACAGGTGAAATGATGCATTTTGGAGCAAAACCATAGGATTTTCACTTCAAGCTGTTCCATACCGAAGCATCAACTTTGAGAAGGCCTAGAAAAACATCTACTCAATGGATTTCATCAAGACAACTTCGCCGCGTGCTCTGAGTGAGTTAACTTTCCAAAGCAAGTGGTTTGGCATCATTTGGGATGACTAGAAATGAAGTTATGATCAAATGAGTGAACACTGGTCCGGACGGCTTTATCGAGCATCCGTGTTCCATCCCGCCTAGTGCACAGCCGAGCTCACGTACCGACCCGAGAAGCAATGTCCCGCGGTCAAGCCGTTCAAGCCTTTGCCACCATAAGCCGGGCACGACCGCACCGCGCGAACCGGGAAGCATCGCCTCGCGGCCGTGCGGCACAACTCACGTCCCACGGCCGATCACACCGTTGATATACCTCTAATTTCCCCACTTTTTATACTGTTTTAGCATTGTTTTCTAATGGTTTTTGGCAGGTTTTCTATCTAAAAAGGTAGTTTTACTATGTTTATAGTGTCTAGAGTCTAAACAGGTGAAATGATGCATTTTGGAGCAAAACCATAGGATTTGCACTTCAAGCAGCTCCATGCACAAGCACCAACTTTAAGAGGGCCCAGCAAAAGATCTACTCAATGGATTTCATCAAGACCAGTTCCGTGCGTGCTCTGACACGGAGTTAACTTTCCAACGCAATTGGAATGGCATCATTTGGATGAGTAGAAAAGGAGTTATAGCCAAAAGAGTGGAGACTGTCCAGACGGCTCTATCGAGAGAGCAGCGCCCAAACCGCGCAGTCCGGCTGGCCGAGGAACGCATGTTCCGCGCTCGGCCAAAGCTGCGTCCGTCCGACTGAAGTCTCGGCCAAGTCCAAAACCACTCGGCCGATCAAGCATCACGACCCGGGAAACATACGCCCGCGGTCGGCCACGCCACAACTGGCCGCGTCACAACCGCGCACGACCAAAGCGCGCGAGCCGGGAAGTAACGCCTCGCGGCCGCGCAACTCACCTCACGTACCGCGCACGAACGCTTCGTCCGACCCGGGAAACTATGCCTCGCGTCCAGCCGAAGATCTTCATTG